CTGTGGGCTCAGCCCCACTGTACAGTGAGGAAGAGCTAACAGAGGGCGGTCAGGAACGGGGGGAGACATCCGCCTCTTCAGCAGCCAGGCGAAGAAGTACTGGCGAGGAGAGTGGCTCGGTAGCCGGTCTAGAGACAGGTCTGTCTCCTGACCCACACGCAGCCGAGGGGGCTAGTAGTGAGGCGGAGACCCTAATTGATGATGATGAGGCTGATCGCACTTGGCAGCCTTGTCGTCATCAGGCTATTGCTTCCGCATCATCAGGAGAAGAGGGTGCCAGCTTGGCAGCGAGCAAAACAGTCGGTGGGTTGCCCAGGAGGGCAGCAGGGTCGCAGCAGTGTCAGTGGAGGCAAACGGCCACGGAGTACAGCACCAGCTCCACTGCAGCCTACCACCACGGCCAGTAGTGGTGCCGGTGTGCACGGAGGAAGTAGCAGTCAGCCAGTGAGGAGTAGCGGGGGCAAAGTTTCCTACTCGGCGGTGTGGTCCAAATTTTTTGTCAAGCCGCCCGAGGAAGTAAACGTAGCCGTATGTCGACTATGTGGCCAGAAAGTCAAGCGTGGCCAGGGGGCCCATGTTTGGGACTACAGCGTTGCGTCAGCATATGCAGCGTCGCCATTTGGTGGCCTGGAAAACCGTGATAAAGATACGGCGGTTCTGCCTGCCCCAGCCCCCGCTCCATCATCCGCTCCGTTACTTGCTCCGTCACCCGACGTCAATCGCCCTCTATCAGCCAGTCAAGGCTCCAACACCTCTGCTGAGGGGAGTTGTCGCTCACCGTTGGCATCTTCCCCCCGCTCATTCAGATGCTCCTTCTCCTGCTACTCCTCTTCACGGATTCCGTCAGCAGTCTTTCTTGGAATCCGTTTCCAAGAGACAACAGTTTGCGAGCACGCACCCGACGGTGCAGAAGCTGAACGTCCTCCTGCCAAGTTGCTGGTGCTGCAGTCCCTCCCTTTCCAAGTGGTGGACTCAGCACCTTTCCGAGAAATGATGGCTTGTGCCGAGCCGCGGTGGAGAGTGCCAAGCCGGCATTTCTTCGCCAAAAAAGGCAGTGCCAGCCCTGCATTCACATGTAGAAGAGATGGTGGGCCAGTCTTTGAGCATGTCGGTCTCTGCCAAAGTGCACGGCAGCGCCGACGTGTGGAGCTGTAACTACGGTCAGGGACAGTACATGTCATTTACGGCCCACTGGGTGAACATGGTGCCGGCACAGCCGCACCAGCAACTTGGGACAGGTCACGCCGCTTTTGCCTCCACGTTTGCACGTCCTTGGTCCAGCAAAGATGTCCGCCTCTACCACCTCTTCTTCCGCCGTGTCCTCAGCCGCCACGCACACCCCCGTGCCAAGTCCCATTACCCGACCGGCATATCACATGTGCAGGGCGCAACGGTGTCACGCTGTGCTGCACCTGGTATGCCTTGGCGAACGTAGTCACACAGGGGAGGAACTTCTGAGTGTAATGAACAGAGAAATCGACAGATGGTTTGTCTCCGCGCAAACTGAAAATCGGAACCATGTTGACCGACAAACGGAAAGAACATGGTGTCTGCTCTGCGTCAAGGAAGGTTGTGCCATGCGCCATGCATGGCTCACATGTTCAATCTGGTTGTCAAGCGGTTCCTAAAATCCACCATCCCACTGCAAGACATCCTTAAAATGTCACGTAAACTTTGCATGCATTTCAGCCATTCCTACACCGCAAAGCACACCCTCCTTGAGCTGCAGCGGCAGAACGGAATTCCACAGCATCACCTGATCTGCGACGTTGCAACAAGGTGGAATTCAACCCAACATATGTTAGACCGCCTTTACGAACAGCAAAAGGCCATCACCGATTTCCTGATGTTACAAGCGGATAAAGGTACTCCCCTGTGTAACTTAGATGTCAGCCATTGGCAGCTCATGCGTGACACCTGCCGCTTGCTCAGGGCCTTTGAGGAGCCACGCTATTCGTGAGTCGGCAGGCAACTATGGGATGAACGACGTCATTCCTCTGTTGCACGTCCTGGAACAAATGCTTGTTAACAATGGCTGGTCAGGGTGCGGTAGACGTAGCGCACAGATCTCAACGCCACATGACCCCTGTGGGGGTGGCATTATACAGGACAGGAAGAAGAGGAGGAGGTAGAGGAGGACATTGGTGCTCAGGAATTATTGAGTGAAATGGGTGGTTTTTCCACTCAGCGGACAGGAGTGGAGGAGCAGGAGCATCTGGTAGAGGAGGAGGAGGAGACAGAGGACCCAGACGCACCGTGGCAGTATGCTGTGGAGATGGAGGCAGGGAGTCCCTTGCATTCCTTGGCACAAATGGCCCATAGCATGCTCGGTTGCTTGCGTAGCCGAATAATAACCATCAGACAGAGGGATGACTTTTGGCTGTCCACGTTGTTGGACCCTCGCTACCGTTCAAAATGGTGGCCTTTTTCACACCTGCTGAGAGGGAGGCCAAAATAAAGTACTATAAAAACCACCTATGTAGTCAGTTGGTCTCTGCCTTTCTGCGCCAACGTCCATCCTCAGACACTGTGGGCCCTGTGCGCTCGCGTTCCGCTGCCATGGCAGCAGGGAAGGGGTGGGGGTGGAATGAGCAGTGGCAGCTCCACCAGCAGCGGCTGCCTCAGTCTGCAGTCGATGGTGAGTAGCTTTCTTCACCAGCGCAGTGAGGAAACTACTAACCAGCGCAGCAGCAGCAGCATCAGGTGGACCTGGAGCAGGACCTCAAACAACAGGCTTGGGCCTACTTGGACAGCACCCTGCCAACCGAGGTAGACAATCACCTTGACTACTGGGCAACGAAACTTGACCTTTGGCCCCAACTAGCTGAATTTGCCCTTGAAAGGCTGTCATGCCCGGCCAGTAGCGTGGCATCGGAGCGCGTGTTTAGTGCGGCAGAAGGTATTGTAACTCCGCGGAGGACACGACTGTCCACCCAAAGTGTGGAGAGACTCACGTTTGTGAAAATGAATCAGGCGTGGATTAGTCTGGATTTCAAACCACCAGTTTCTGACACAACTGACTAAATCCGCCATGAATCATGCCCCAAACATGTTATTATTTTTAACATAGGCCTCTGTATGGCCTTCAATTTAAGCTGCTTACGCTTCGCCACTCTGCCATGGGCCCCTGTACCGCCCTCCTCTTGCTGCTGCCAGGTCCAGAGTGTGTCATGGGTCCCTGTACGGCCTCCCATTGCTGCTGTCTCCATCGCCACACTCTGCCATGTGCCACTTTCAGGTCTCCTCACACTGCTGGTGGGGTTCCATTTTGTCATAGGGTGCTGGCAGATTAACGGGCCTCCCATTGCTGCTGCCAGGCCCGTAATCTGCCATGGGCCCCGTACCGAGCACTCCTCATGCTGCTGCCAGGCCCGTAATCTGTCATGGGCCCGTTTTACCGCCTCCTCATGCTGCTGCCAGGTCCAGAGTGTGTCATGGGTCCCTGTACGGCCTCCCATTGCTGCTGTCTCCATCGCCACACTCTGCCATGTGTGCCACTTTCAGAGGTCTCCTCACACTGCTGGTGGGTTCCATTTTGTCATACGGTGCTGGCAGATTACGGGCCTCCCATTGCTGCTGCCAGGCCCGTAATCTGCCATGGGGGCCCCTGTACCGCCTCCTCATGCTGCTGCCAGGTCCAGAGTGTGTCATGGGTCCCTGTACGGCCTCCCATTGCTGCTGCCAAGCCCGTAATCTGCCATGGGCCCCCCGTACGACTCCTCATGCTGCTGCCAGGCCCGTAATCTGCCATGGGCCCCTGTATCGCCTCCTCATGCTGCTGCCAGGTCCAGAGTGTGTCATGGGTCCCTGTACGGCCTCCCATTGCTGCTGCCAAGCCCGTTAAAGCATGGGACCCCCGTACCGACTCCTCATGCTGCTGCCAGGCCCGTAATCTGTCATGGGCCCCTGTACCGCCTCCTCATGCTGCTGCCAGGTCCAGAGTGTGTCATGGGTCCCTGTCCCGACGGCCTCCCATTGCTGCTGCCAAGCCCGTTATCTGCCATGGGCCCCCGTACCGACTCCTCATGCTGCTGCCAGGCCCGTAATCTGTCATGGGCCCCCCTGTACCGCCTCCTCATGCTGCTGCCAGGTCCAGAGTGTGTCATGGGTCCCTGTACGGCCTCCCATTGCTGCTGTCTCCATCGCCACACTCTGCCTGATAGTGGCCACTTTCAGGTCTCCTCACACTGCTGGTGGGTTCCATTTTGTCATAGGGTGCTGGCAGATTACGGGCCTCCCATTGCTGCTGCCAGGCCCGTAATCTGCCATGGGCCCCCGTACCGACTCCTCATGCTGCTGCCAGGCCCGTAATCTGTCATGGGCCCGTTTACCGCCTCCTCATGCTGCTGCCAGGTCCAGAGTGTGTCATGGGTCCCTGTACGGCCTCCATTGCTGCTGTCTCCATCGCCACACTCTGCCATTTGTGCCACTTTCAGGTCTCCTCACACTGCTGGTGGGTTCCTCTATTTCCATTTTGTCATACGGTGCTGGCAGATTACGGGCCTCCGCATTAGCGCTGCTGCCAGGCCCGTAATCTGCCATGGGCCCCTTGTACCGCCTCCTCATGCTGCTGCCAGGGTCCAGAGTGTGTCATGGGTCCCTGTACGGCCTCCCATTGCTGCTGCCAAGCCCAGAATCTGCCATGGGCCCCCGTACGGACTCCTCATGCTGCTGCCAGGCCCGTTTAATCTGCCATGGGCCCCTGTAATCGCCTCCTCATGCTGCTGCCAGGTCCAGAGTGTGTCATGGGTCCCTGTACGGCCCTCCCATTGCTGCTGCCAAGCCCGTAATCTGCCATGGGCCCCCGTACCGACTCCTCATGCTGCTGCCAGGCCCGTAATCTGTCATGGGCCCCTGTACCGCCTCCTCATGCTGCTGCCAGGTCCAGAGTGTGTCATGGGTCCCTGTACGGCCTCCCATTGCTGCTGCCAAGCCCGTAATCTGCCATGGGCCCCCGTACCGACTCCTCATGCTGCTGCCAGGCCGGTAGTTAATCTGTCATGGGCCCCTGTACCGCCTCCTCATGCTGCTGCCAGGTCCAGAGTGTGTCATGGGTCCCTGTACGGCCTCCCATTGCTGCTGTCTCCATCGCCACACTCTGCCATGTTTTGCCACATTTAGGTCTCCTCACACTGCTGGTAAGGTTCCATTTTGTCATAGGGTGCTGGCAGATTACGGGCCTCCCCATTGCTGCTGCCAGGGCCCGTAATCTGTCATGGGCCCCTGTACCGACTCCTCATGCTGCTGCCAGGCCCGTAACCTGTCATGGGCCCCTGTACCGCCTCCTCCATGCTGCTGCCAGGTGGGGCCCAGTGTGTCCATGGGTCCCTGTACGGCCTCCCATTGCTGCTGCCAGGCCCGTAATCTGCCATAGGGGCCCCCGTACCGACTCTCATGCTGCTGCCAGGCCAGCCGTAATCTGTCATGGCCCCTGTACCGCCTCCTCATGCTGCTGCCAGGTCCCAGAGTGTGTCATGGGTCCCTGTACGGCCCCCATTGCTGCTGTCTCCATCGCCACACTCTGCCATGTGCCACTTTCAGGTCTCCTCACACTGCTGGTGGGTTCCATTTTTGTCATAGGGTGCTGGCAGATTACGGGCCCTCCCATTGCTGCTGCCAGGCCCCGTAATCTGCCATGGGCCCCCGTAACCGACTCCTCATGCTGCTGCCAGGTCCAGAGTGTGTCATGGGTCCCTGTACGGCCTCCCCATTTGCTGCTGTCTCCATCGCCACACTCTGCCATGTGCCACTTTCAGGTCTCCTCACACTGCTGGTGGGTTCCATTTTGTGTCATAGGGTGCTGGCAGACGTACGGGCCTACCCATTGCTGCTGCCATCGCCGCCCGTAATCTTGCCATGGGCCCCTTACTGTCATGGGGGCCGCCTGGTCCGCCTCCATTCATGCTGCTGCCAGGTCCAGAGTGTGTCATGGGTCCCTGTACGGCCTCCCATTGCTGCTGCCAAGCCCGTAATCTGCCATGGGCCCCCGTTACCGACTCCTCATGCTGCTGCCAGGCCCGTAATCTGCCATGGGCCCCGTATCTGCCTCCTCATGCTGCTGCCAGGTCCAGAGTGTGTCATGGGTCCCTGTACGGCCTCCCATTGCTGCTGTCTCCATCGCCACACTCTCTGCCATGTGCCACTTTCAGGTCTCCTCACACTGCTGGTTGGGTTTCCATTTTGTCATAGGGTGCTGGCAGATTACGGGCCTCCCATGGCTGCTGCCAGGCTCGTAATCTGCCATGGGCCCCCGTACGCCCGACTCCTCATGCTGCTCGCCAGGCCCGTAATCTGTCATGGGCCCCTGTTCCGACTCCTCATGCTGCTGCCCAGGTCCAGAGTGTGTCATGGGTCCCTGTACGGCCTCCCATTGCTTGCTGTCTCCATCGCCACACTCTGCCATGTGCCACTTTCAGGTCTCCTCACACTGCTGGTGGGTTCCATTTTGTCATAGGGTGCTGGCAGATTACGGGCCTCCCACTGCTGCTGCCAGGCCCGTAATCTGTTGCCATGGGCCCCCGTACCGACTCCCTCATGCTGCCTGCCAGGCCCGTAGTAATCTGTCATGGGCCCCTGTACCGCCTCCCTCATGCTGCTGCCAGGTCCAGAGTGTGTCATGGGTTCCTGTACGGCCTCCCATGCTGCTGTCTCCATCGCCACACTCTGCCATGAACCACTTTCAAGTCTCCTCACACTGCTGGTGGGTTTCCTTTTTGTCATAGGGGTGCTAGGGCAGATTTAGGGCCTCCCATTGCTGCTGCCAGGCCCGTAATCTGCCATGGGCCCCCGTACCGACTCCTCATGCTGCTGCCAGGCCCGTAATCTGTCATGGGCCCCTGTGTACCGCCTCCACATGTTGCTGCCAGGTCCAGAGTGTGTCATGGGATCCCCCTGTACGGCCTCCCATTGCTGCTGCCAGGCCCGTAATCTGCCATGGGCCCCCGTACCGACTCCTCATGCTGCTGCCAGGCCCGTTAATCTGTCATGGGCCCCTGTACCGCCTCCTCATGCTGCTGCCAGGTCCAGAGTGTGTCATGGGTCCATGTACGGCCTCCCATTGCTGCTGTCTCCATCGCCACACACTCTGCCATGTGCCACTTTCAGGTCTCCTCACACTGCTGGTGCATTCCATTTTGTCATAGGGTGCTGGCAGATTACAGGCGCCTCCCATTGCTGCTGCCAGGCCCGTAATCTGCCATGGGCCCCCGTACCGACTCTCATGATGCTGCTTCCAGGCCCATAATCTGTCATGGGCCCCTGTACCGCCTCCTCATGCTGCGTGCCAGGTCCAGAGTGTGTCATGGGTCCCCTGTACGGCCTCCCATTGCTGCTGTCTCCATCGCCACACTCTGCCATGTGCCACTTTTCAGGTCTCCTCACACTGCTGGTGGGTTCCTTTTTGTCATAGGGTGCTGCTTGATTACGGGCCTCCCATTGCTGCTGCCAGGCCCCCCCCATTAATCCTGCCATGGGCCCCCGTAACCGACTCCTCATGCTGCTGCCATAGGCCGTAATCTGTCATGGGCACCCTGTACCGCCTCCTCATGCTGCTGCCAGGTCCAGAGTGTGTCATGGGTCCCTGTACGGGCCTCTACCATTGCTGCTGCCAGGCCCGTAATCTGCCATGGGCCCCCGTACTGACTCCTCATGCTGCTGCCAGGCCCGTAATCTGTCATGGGCCCCTGTACCGCCTCCTCATGCTGCTGCCAGGTCCAGAGTGTGTCATGGGGTCCCTGTACGGCCTCCCCATTGCTGCTGTCTCCATCGCCACACTCTATGCCATGTGCCACTTTCAGGTCTCCTCACATGCAGGTCCTCTCGGTTCCATTTTTGTCATAGGGTGCTGGCAAGATTTCGGGCCCTCCCATTGCTGCTGCCAGGCCCGTAATCTGCCATGGGGCCCCCGTACCGACTCCTCATGCCTGCTGCCAGGTCCAGAGTGTGTCATGGGTCCCTGTACGGCCTCCCATTGCTGCTGTCTCCCTCGCCACACTCTGCCATGTGCTACTTTCAGGTCTCTCACACACTGCTGGTGGGTTCCATTTTGTCACATAGGGTGCTGGCAGATTACGGGCCTCCCATTGCTGCTGCCAGGCCCGTTATCTGCCATGGGCCCCCCGTACCGACTCCTCATGCTGCTGCCAACCAGGCCCGGTAATCTGTCATGGGCCCCCTGTACCGCCTCCTCATGCTGCTGCCAGGTCCAGAGTGTGTCATGGGGTCCCTGTTCGGCCTCCCATTGCTGCTGTCTCCACGCCAACACTACTGCCATGTGCCACTTTCAGGTCTCCTCACACTGCTGGTGGGTTCCATTTTGTCATAGGGTGCTGGCAGAATTACGGGCCTCCCATTGCTGCTGCCAGGCCCGTAATCTTGCCATGGGCCCCCGTACCGACTCCTCCTCATGCTGCTGCCAGGCCCGTAATCTGTCATGGGCCCCTGTACCGCCTCCTCCTCATGCTGCTGCCAGGTCCAGTGTGTGTCATGGGTCCCTGTACGGCCTCCCATTTGCTGCTGTCTCCATCGCCACACTCTGCCATGTGCCACTTTCAGGTCTCCTCACACACTGCTGGTGGGTTCCATTTTGTCATAGGGTGCTGGCAGATTTGGGGCCTCCCATTGCTGCTTGCTGCCAGGCCCGTAATCTGCATGGGCCCCCGTACCGACTCCTCATGCTGCTGCCAGGCCCGTAATCTGTCATGGGCCCCTGTACCGCCTCCTCATGCTGCTGCCAGGTCCAGAGAGTGTGTCATGGGGTCCCTGTACGGCCTCCCATTGCTGCTGCCAGGGGGCCCGTAATCTGCCATGGGCCCCCGTACCGACTCCTCATGCTGCTGCCAGGCCCCGTAATCTGTCATGGGCCCCTGTACCGCCTCCTCATGCTGCTGCCAGGTCCCAGAGTGTGTCATGGGGTCCCTGTACGGCCTCCCCATTGCTGCTGTCTCCATCGCCACACTCTGCCATGTGCCACTTTCAGGTCTCCTCACACTGCTGGTGGGTTCCATTTTGTCATAGGATGCTGTATGGCCTCCCATTGCTGCTGCCAGGGCCCGTAATCTGCCATGGCCCCCGTACCGACTCCTCATGCTGCTGCCAGTCCCGTAACTGTCATGGCCCCTGTACTGCCTCCTCATGCTGCTGCCAGGTCCAGAGCGTGTCATGGGTCCCTGTACGGCCTCCCATTGCTGCTGTCTCCTCCATCGCCACACTCTGCCATGTGCCACTTTCAGGTCTCCTCACACTGCTTGTGGGTTCCATTTTGTCAAAAGGGGTGCTGTATGGCCTCCCATTGCTGCTGCCAGGCCCGTAAATCTGCCATGGGCCCCCGTACCGACTCCTCATGCTGCTGCCAGGCCCGTAATCTGTCATGGGCCCCTGTACCGCCTCCTCATGCTGCTGCCAGGTCCAGAGTGTGTCATGGGTCCCTGTACGGCCTCCCATTGCTGCTGTCTCCATCGCCACACTCTGCCATGTGCCACTTCAGGTCTCCTCACACTGCTGGTGTGTTCCATTTTGTCATAGGGTGCTGTATGGCCTCCCAGTTGCTGCTGCCTCCACCGCTACACTGTGGCTCCCATACTCTGGTTTTGGCCCCGTGACTGCCCAAATGAGTGAAGTGTGCGGTGATTCTAAGATCGACGCCACTCATTCTGCATGTCATACTGACTGACAGTATTATTTCTCTTCCCCAGCAGACTCCAAGGGCATTTAAATTAAAGGTACAGTGTTCTGCACTAAATATAAAGGCTCTCTGAAGCCTAGAAAACACCCTTTTTTATAAGTTAAATTCGCAGCGAATATATTCGACTCGAATCAAATTTATTCCGCGAATTCGCCGAATCAGCCGAATCGAATTTTTGAATAATTCGCTCATCTCTAGTCCCAGTACAGCCACTCAAACTCCCTAGACATACCAGTACCGTACCAGTAGTTGTTTGGCTGCAAGTCGTTAATTACAAGGAAGGATTATACTTGTTTTTGGCTTCAGGACCTTTAGTTGTGGCATTTTATTTATATAAGGCTTTCCACATATGAGAGACAACCTACAACAGTGGGTGTTCCATCATCACAATCAAATGGTTTCCAAGCTTGACAGTACTGAGCTGGTAGGACATTCACTCTGTATGCATCTTTCATCTTATTTTTTCAGATTGTAAAGGGAGTGTACCTTCAAGCCTTTTTTTAATTGTAAGCAGAATAACAAATAGCAGTATTAAGTTCACTAACAACTACTTACAAAGCCACTCACAACTCGGCCCCCAGCTACATCACTAACCTGGTCTAAAATATAAACCAAACTGCTCTATTCTGTCCTCCCAAGACCACCTGCTCTCTAGGTCCAGTATCAGCTCTTCTCATGCTCACCTCCAAGACTTCTTTTGCGCTTCTCTCATCCTATGGAACTCCCTACCCCAATCTGTCCATCTATCTCCTTATCAATCTACCTTTAGACAATCACTGAAAACCATTCTCTTTAAAGAACCATATCCTGCTTTTATCTAATGCACTGTATATTTACTTTCTCCATCAGCTCATCCCCAAAAGCTATTACCCTTTGTATCACATTACCCCCCCCCCCTCTTAGATTGTAAGCTCTAATGAGTAGGGCCCTCTGATTCCTCTTGTACCACATTATATTGTAACTGTAATGTCTGCCTTCATTTTCTAAAGCGCTGCGGAAACATTTTGTGCTATATAAATCCTGTATAATAATATTATTAATGAAAACACACACCAGGTAACATTTCTTAGGGGGCAGTTTTGCTTGGTGTCATTGCATCATGGGCCCAGAGAGGGATTGTTGTGATGAGGTAGGAACAGATCTGCCCCAAGAAATATTACATATTTTGTATCTCCAGTAGTTACACCCTAGATATTAACAGCTGGTAGTGGAAGAGCAGTATAGTATATTAGTAATCAATGAAAGCAGTAAAATATAGTGCTGCAGCAGCATGTTTTATTGGCTTACATATTAGATTACATTTTTAAAAAGTTCAGGTCTCTTAGGTATACATTGGAGTAAGCCAGAGTAAGCCACACGCTAATCCCCTATGAGGCTGATGTAATAGTTTAAAGAGGAGATAATTATCATAGCCCTAAAGTTTTCTTTATTACTATGGCATTATGAAGGATTTGGTGCATAGCTGACTGATAAATTCACGTCACCTGCATATTTGCCTACATAAAGCATAATAGAATGCACAATAGTGTTACCCATCAGCCAGGATAACAGACCACTAATATAAAAATGTCGTGAGATGTTATCTATATTATTGACCTGAATGCTTGGCTAAAAGGTCAAACTAAAGCCTAATACACACGATCAGAAAACAGTACAAAAAATACCACTTTTGAAACTATTGTATGATAATTTGATTGATTAGTGCACAGCTTTTGTCCAAAGTTATTTAATGGGACAAGCACAAAAATTTTTCATAGATACTAGATCGTAAGATTTTCGTTTAATCAGTACAGTTTTCATCTGAAGACACAATACAAATATATTACATTACTTTCAAATTTTTATTCTGTCGTACAAGAATTTTCAGAACTTCACTTTCAATATGAGACTAACATGCTACAAAAATAGACGATTATTCATCCAATAGTCTCATCGTGTGTACGGGCCTTTACAGAAAAACCCAGTAATCATTTTATGTTTGCTTTTCATATACATATCAAAATAATGTCAATTATATCACTGTATTATGTTTTGAAGTACATAATCGAAGAAACATGTTAGTGTCTCTACCTCACAAAAAAACACCTGAGCTGTGCTGAAACTGGAAATTTTAATCTAGATAATTAGAGGAAAAATTGGTCAAAGACAAAAGTAGGTCAGAAATGTTTGATTAAAGATTGAAAGCTTCAACGTGTTCACTTTGGAGATACTTTGAGTTGAATGTCAGAATGTATCCCATCTCCCTACACTCTAAAAGCAGTGCAACATTCAGGTGTCATAATGTGTTACAGAATGACAAGCCCATCTATATTAACAGTTATCTTTAGCATTAGATGGTAGGATAGATGTCTTCCCAAAATGTGGTAGGGTCCAGGGGCGGACTGACAACTCATGGGACCCCCGGGCAATAGGGGATCATGGGGCCCCTGTGTCCTTGCCCACACTCAAAAAAGCCTATAAAAAAGGTACCAGGGGTATTTCATGGGGCCCCCTACTGACCCCGGGCCCTCGGATAGTGCCCGAGTGCTCGAATGGTCAGTCCGCCCCTGGTAGGGTCACCTATGCTCTGTTTTAATTTCCTTTATGCATGTGAAGAGCATTTGAATGGTCCCTGTAGAAAGAGATTAGGTGCAAATGAACCAGCAAATCAAGAAGACTTTTACTTTTGTTTCTTGAGAAGATTGTATGTCTGTAAAGTAGATAAAGCTAGAGGTCTACAGGTATGTTGCATACTCTAGTTAACAGAGTTTAAATATCCCTCCAATGCAATAGATTAATTTATGAAATCATGAAATGTTCCCCTAGCAAACTGACTTGCATTGCTTCTGAAGCACTTGCAGCTTTCTGATATTTTTCTGAATAAAGCATTAATATGTCTTTGTGGTTTCAAGATGACATGTCAAAGGAAGTAGAAGATCATTGCTGATGCTCTGCTGGGGTTTATATAGTAGTGGGGGTAGGTGGCATGGCTGCAGGTGGAAGTGGTAAATTTAGCATTCCAGGCAGCGGTTGTCTGGGGTAAATTGATGACCACAAACTCTACTTCATGGCAAAATTCTGAAATCAAGCACTAAGTCCATAGTTTCACAATTGTATATTATTGATAAAAGGGCACATGAAAGTCCCAGCTGCTATAAGCCACACTTGGAGTAGTGAACATTTAAAACAAAATCACCAGAAATAACAGCGCTCAGGACCTCTAGATGCTCCAATGTAAATCCAAAGTTCCACATTAGTTATACCGTGAGGTAATACCAGAAGCCTCCGGCTAAGTTCAAAACATTATTTAATTGAAACCACAGTAATAGTAAAAACAAGAGAGTCATAAAATGCTGAATGTAATATAAAGTGCAAGCTGTTCCAATTACCAGTCATGATGACTTGGTTGGAAGAATAATACAGTTGCGAGAAAATGTATGTGAACCCCTTGGGATTACGTGAAGTTTTGCATGAATTGGGCATAAAATGTGCTCTGAACGTCATCTAAGTCACAACAATAGAAGAACACAGTCTGCTGAACATAATACTACACAAACATTAGATGTTGCCATGGTTTAATTGCACATAACATGTAAACATTCACATTGCAGGGAGGAAAAAGTATGTGAGGCCCTAGCTTAATGACTTCTCCCAGAGCTAATTGGAGCCAGGAGTGAGCCAAACTTGACTCCAATCAGTGTGATGATATTGAATGTGTTGCTGACAGCTGTCCTGCCCTTAAAAAACACACACCTGTTTTGGGTTTACTGGTTTCAAGAAGAACTGTCTGATGTGAACCATGCCTCGCAGGAAAGAGCTCTCAGAAGACCTACGATCAAGAATTGTTGACTTGCATGAAGCTGGAAAGGGTTACAAAAGTATCTCCAAAAGCCTTGATGTTCATGTGTCCACAGTAAGACAGATTGTCTACAAATGGAGAAAGTTTAGCACTGTTGCTACTCTCCCTAGGTGTGGTTGTCCTGTAAAAATGACTGCAAGAGCACAGCGCAGAATGCATGATGAGGTAAAGAAGAAACCCAGAGTGTCAGCTAAAGACCTACAGAAATCTCTGGCACATGCTAACATTTTTGTTGACACATCTACAATAAGGAAAACATTAAACAAGAATGGAGTACAAGGGAGGACACCACGGAGGAAGCCATTGCGGTCCAAAAAGAATATTGCAGCACGTTTGAAGTTTGCAAAAGAGCACCTGGATGTTCCACAGCACTACTGGCAAAATATACTGTGGACAGATGAAACCAAGATTGAGTTGTTTGGGAAGAACACACAACACTATGTGTGGAGACAAAAAGACACAGCACACCAACATCAAAACCTCATCCCCACTGTAAAACATGGCGGAGGAAGCATCATGGTTTGGGGCTGCTTTGCTGCCTCAGGGCCTGGACGTATTGTTGTCATTGATCGGAAAATGAATTCCAGAGTTTATCAAGACATTTTGCAGGAAAACGTACGACCATCTGTCCGCCAACTGAAGCTCCGCAGAGGATGGGTGATGCAACAGGACAATGACCCAAAGCATACAAGTAATTCAAAAAAACAATGGCTGCAACAGCACAGATTACGCCTTCTGGAGTGGCCCAGTCAGAGTCCTGACCTCAACCCGATTGAAATGCTGTGGCATGACCTTAAGAGAGCGATTCACACCAGACATCCCAAGAATATTGCTACACTGAAACAGTTTTGTGAAGAGGAGTGGTCCAAAATTACTCCAGATCGTTGTGCAGGTCTGATCTGCAACTACAGGAAACGTTTGGTTGAGGTTATTGCTGCAAAATGAGGGTCAACCAGTTATTAAGTCCAAAGGTTCACATACTTTTTCTTCCCTGCACTGTGAATATTTACATGTTATGTGCAATTAAACCATGGCAACATCTAATGTTTGTGTAGTATTATGTTCAGCAGACTGTGTTCTTCTATTGTTGTGACTTAGATGACGTTCAGAGCACATTTTATGCCCAGTTCATGCAAAACTCCACGTAATCCCAAGGGGTTCACATACTTTTTCTTGCAACTGTAGCTCCTAATTCCATGGGCTCTGGGGCACTGATGTACGAGA